CTGAAATATTTCAGTGTCAACCAATTCTTTTTGGTAAATTAGGTATTTTTTTTCTATCTTTTTCTGATACTTCCTGGATCATTCAAGATTTTATTCACAGCATCTCTCAGTGTTACTTCTGAAGACGTGAATTTGTTTTTCAGTTCTCACAGTCTGAGAAATGCTAAGTGAGGTATTCCTTTCTATTCTCTGATTCCAGCTCTTTATACATCCCATTACAATACTTTGTTTTCTCAGGCTGCCCTTTGAAATCATCTGTTCATCTGCTTTTACTTCTGCATTTCTTTCCTTTTGTTTGGGCTTCTCAATGCTCTAGTGCAATTTTCCAGAAAGGTGTGTACCAAGATAGTATATATATCCTTTCTCAATATACCTATTTAACCTATATGGTGATCAAATCATTTGAGAAGCTGGACTCTGTGAAGAATGTCTCATCAAACAACCTGTGTTGTGCAATGATACAACCTTACTTGCTAAAAGTGAGGAAGACTTGAAATGTTTGCTGTAGAAGCTCAGACTGTAACCTTCTCTAAGTGTCACATCTCAATATCAAGAAACAAAAATTCTCACCACTGGACCAATAAGTAACATCATGACAGATGATGGAAAGATTGAAATTGTCAATAATTTCATCTTATTTGGATCCACAATCCAATACTCACTATACCACAATACCCTTGGTATCAGCAGTCAAAAAAGTAAAAGATCTGCTCTCAGCGACCTGTTCAAAGTATAGAGAAGCAACGATGTCAGTTTAAAGACAAAGGTGCATCCAATTCAGCCATGATCTTTTCAATCACTTGCTATACATCTGAGAGCTGGATAATAAGGATGACAGAGGAGGAATTCATGCCTTTGAGTTGTGGTGGTGGAAGAGAATACTGAATATCCAATGGACCACTAAAAGAACAAACATATATCTTGGAGGACATGCATCCAGAGTGCTCTTTGGAGGCAAGGATGGTGAAACTTCATCGTAGATACTTTGGACATATTGTTAAGAGAGTCTTGGAAAGGAGCGTTATGCTCAGAAAGATGGAGGGTCAGTGGAAGAGATAATGACCTTCAACAAGATAGATTGACATCATAACTGCAACAATGGGCTAAAGTATGTCAGAGATGATGATGGTGGCACAGGAGAGGACAGGGTTCAGATCTATTGTTCATAGGGTTGTTAGGAGTCATACTTGACTTTACGGGACACAACAACAACAACAGGTCCCAAACAGACTTTGGACAGCCTTGGAGAAATAAAGCTGCCACTTCTTAGTTATACAATCTTGAGATGAATATTTAACCCTTTTGAGCCTCTGTTTTCTCATTTGTAAATGGAAATTATTATGGATTGTTGTTGTTGTTGTGTACCAGTAAATTGGAACCAGCCCATAATTTTTGCCCTCCAGTGGGTTTTCAGAGGCTGTAAATCACATGGGAGGAGAATTGGTCAACTTTCTCCCACAGAGCAGCTGGCAATTTTGACCTGGGTATCTTGGCTTTGGCAGCGCAATTCCTTATCACGCAACCACCGGAGCTCCCTTTTACTGATTGAATTCTGTCAATATTGATTCCATTTGACAGAGCACATTCTTTACAGGAGAAGATCACCAAATCTTCCTCTGCTTAGTGGGGTATAGGTGAGATCTTTACTTCAGAGCTCCTTATGGATTGAAATGAAAATTAAAGCACTGGCCCCAGCACCTTTGCAAAAAGTCTTTTTGGATTTTCTTTCTTATCTTTGAGCCATACCAGAGTAGGGTGGATCCTGAGCCTAATTACAGAGAGGCTTACAGGCAGTAAATAGACATCCTGAGAGGCCTTATTTACAAGAAAAGGAAGACCAAGGATTTCTAACAGAAACCAGAAGAGGAGTTATTTACAAGCAAAGCAAAGGAAGATCAAGGATTTCTAATAGACACAAGATGCTAAGAAAGAAGTCCACAGAAATAAATTGACAGAGGTAAGACCCTAATTCAGACTTTTAGCCTCTAGTACTATGGGGAAAGAAATTTCTGTTCCTTATAATTAGTTACCTATTTTTTTGGTATTTCTCTAATAGCAGCACCAGGAAACTAAGAATTATAATATTAATTATCTCATATGATTGCCATTAGATGTTGCTCAAAAATAATAATTAATTAATATAAAGCTAGAACTGAAATCTAATTTGTTTGTGGTATGGTTTTTTTTTACTCCAAATTCAGTGTTCTCCTTACTAACAGAATTGCTTCTACTAAAGCCTCTCAGATCATACTTAAGGGATTGACCTAAACAAAGCTGTTTTATAAAGATAGTTCAGCTTCTGAAATATGGAAGTGGGAAAATGATAATCCAATCAAACTGGAGACCAGAGATCTGTCCTAAGGGAGTATGGGGGGATGAGGCAGAATGGCTTCTACAAGATCCTCCCTAAGATCTCAATACTGGAGTTCTCTTCTCTTTTCAACACTGATTCTTGGATCTAATCCTTGTCAATCTAAATAGGAACATTTGTTGGTGCGACCAGACATGCTTATATTTGACCCAATCATAGATAATTTTGGGTTACAACCTTGATTTGACAAACTCTTTCCAGACCCTCCCCCAAAATATTAAAAAATTTAAAAAAAAATCATTCCCAAATGATTTTGCAATCCACTAGCAGTTGCCATTGAGGTGATCTCAAGTGAGTTATATTAGAATTGGTCCATAGAATTTCAAACGCTGTGGGGGTTTTCCTTCAGAAGTAAATTCAGAGACTTTTCTTCCAAGGCAGCTCTTACTGGATTCAGACTTTCAAGCTTTCTGTTAGCAGCCAAGGATATTAATCATTTTTACCACCCAGAGGCAATATGTTCATGTCCACAAATTAGTATCTGAATCATTTTGGGTTTCTGGCTTTCCTTTTTGCTTCTTAGAAACCAGTTCAGACACTTGGGTGAGTTGTGAGAGGGAGGTATTAAAAAGCTGTTGGGGGCAGGACTAAGTCAGGCTCAAGAGGGCGGACTCAGCTTCACTTCCTCCCTCTTCTCATCTGGGCTTCCTGTCGTCACAGCGTGATCATATTTATCCTTTCTTCACTTCTCCTTTTTCACAAAAGCCCCGGACGTCCGTGTTAGCAGCCTTGTTGCAGTCACCTCAAGGATAACTGCCAAATTCTGTTCAAAGGACTTAACACAGGTGCCTAAAAAAGGTAAGACTGATGACATTTTGATCTGGTTTGTGAAGGAAATCCTGACTCATTTCACTTGGGGTAGGGTTCTCTTCTTGAGAGTCTCCATACCCCTTTATAACCCAACTTGACCCACTGTGATCAAGTTGATTCCGATTCATAGTGACCCTATAGGTCAGAGGATACCTGCCCTACAGGTTTTACGAGACTATAATCTTCAAAAGATCAGACTGCCACATCTTCCTGCTGAAGAACAACTTGGGTGGGGGAGTAGTTTTGAACTCCATACTCTTAAGTTAGCAACACAATGTCTTAACCTTCACACCATTAGGGCTCTGTATATACCTCTTTAAACTTGAATCCGTTCCCATCTGTGGTGACTCTCCCTACCCCATAAAGACCAGGTTTCTCATGCAGTAAATCTTAATGGGAAGACACTGCCCCCAATTTCTACCTCAGAGCTATTATTGGTGAGTCCAAACTGCTTCCCTTTTGGTTAGTAGCCCAGCACTGTAAGAATCCTCAGATTTCCTTCAACCTTATTTTGTTGTTGTATGCTCAGGATTCAGTTCTGACTTAATTGACCCTAAAGGACAGAATACAACTGGGCCAGAGGGTTTCCAAGGCTCTAATCTCTAGGGGACCAGATTTCCATGTCCTTTCTCCCTTGGAATTCTGGTGGTCTAGTGGTATGGAGCTACTCTGCCAACACAAAGGCACAGGATTCGAATTCACTAGCTGCTCTGTGGGAGAAAGGTAGACCAACTCTTCCCATGCAGGAGGACCACCTATGAGTGTGTGCCAATGGCATATAACAACTTTCTCTTTAGGAGAAGCTGATAGGTTTAAATACACCTGACTTTCAGTTTGAAATTGAGCACTAAGCTATTGAACCACCAATGCTCCTTTTAAGCAAGATCCTAGATACCTCCCAAGGAGTCCATAAGGAGTTGTGCTGCAAACCAAGAGCCACATGAGGTTTGTGCCATCAGGGAGAGGTGGAAAGGGAGAAAAAGATGAGCAGTTTCTGCCTACGTGATTGACAGTCTCGGAAACCCTCTGGAGAGTCAGCTATGAGTCAGTTCTAAGAGAGAAAGAGAATAACCTTCAAAAAGTTACTTGGGCAGATTTTCAGGTAACTAGTTTCCCTTATCTGAGGCCTTTCATGTGCTGAAACTGCCAGACAATTAGAATTTTTTGTGTGATGGTCTGGGCTTTCTGTTTGTAATGAAACTGGAGAAAGTTCCTATGTACTCTTCAGAAGATTGCTTTTGTTTTAAAAAGTAAGGAAAGAACCAATAGTCAGCATCATTTCAAAGGGCAGCTTGACTTTTCAAATGGGAGTTTTGTTTACTTGAAAAATGATTGAAAATCAAATTTAGTAACTCCCATCACATTTCCTCAGAGACACGATTCCTTTGGTGGTTGTCTTATACTGTAAAGTTGTAACCGCCCCATAGCTGACCCTTCAGCAGGTTTTCAGAGGTGGTTAAATACCCAGGGGGAGATTGACCATCCTTCTCCTGTGGAGCAGCTGGTGTATTTGAACCACATGCCTTTGGGTTTTATGCCAAAATCAGTTTTATTTATTGACTTTTATACGTTTACTTCATATCATGTTTATCAATATTATTTTATACACCAGGGGTGTTTATTTGGAGTAGTCTTGGAAATAATAAAATTCTTCCTGCCCTTTAAAACTTTGCGCAAAATGGTAGCTAAGCTTTAAACTTTGGTCTTCACTTTATCTATGTTTATTATGATAGCTTCTGGGGTCAGCTGGTGGTCTTGAACTGCTTGCCTTTAGGATTGCAGTACCACTTCTTGCCACTAGACCACCAGCGCTCCCTCAACTAAATGGAAGGACATTTAAAATTACAACATCAAGCTCATGTCCAATAACTCAAAATGTGTTTTATAAATATATGTTGAGAGTGAAAGTTTGACACTTGTAGGGAAAGCTTTGTTTGGCAAGTTTTAAAGGGCAGGAAGAACATTATTATTATTATTTCCAAGACTATCCCAAATAAAAACCCCTGGCGTATAAAACAATAATATTAGTAAACATTATATGAAGTAAACTTATGAAAGTCAATAAATAAAACTGATTTTGGCATAATTTTCATTTCATAAGTTATAACTAGTTATTGAGTATGCGTGTTGCTGTTGTTGTTTGCCATCAACTCAGAACTGACTCATGGCTGACTCTCCGGCTAGTTTTCTGACTGGAAAACAGGCAGTAAATTGCACGGCTGGAGAGTGCCCATCCTTCACCAGTGGAGCAGCTGGTGTATTTGAATCGCATGCTCTTGAGTGTGCACAGGCCCTGCAAAATGGTAGCTAAGCTTTAAACTTTGCTCCACACTTTTTCTGTGTTTATTGTGGTACTTTCTGGGGTCATGTCTATTGGAAACTCTATCAGAGTTTTCTTCTTCTAAAATCAGTAAGATTCTCATTTAATTAACATCTACTAGGACCACGTCTGCCCTTCACACCACCACCATCCCCCAAGAGGACAGGAATGAACAGAGGTCTCTGTATTTATAAAGGAAAGAAAGGCTCAGCTCCTCAAGGCTATTGAGCTCTTTGATTTTAAAAATAAAGACCAGAATGTTCAATGAATTATTTTTGTAATGAGCTGTGTAGTCTACAGCTAGTAGGCTGAGCCTCTGGTAATCTGAATCCACAACAGCTCCCTAGGAGATGGATGGGAAATCTCCTGTGCAATTTACAGAAACATGATGATGTTTCAGATATGAGTTGGTTTCCATTGTACAGCAATGAGTGATTGAGTAAGTATCTTTGGAATATACTGATAATGTTGAAGGAGTAGCAAGTTGGTAGGATTCAACAAATTGCTTTTCCCTTAAGGAACTTGGATAAAAGGTCAATTATGTGTACAAGTGCTCTGGAAGGCAGCCTAGTAATTTTAGCTGCTGGCTAAACAAATGTTTTTCCTCAGTTTTGAGCAGAATATGTAGTTTTGAAATTGTGGTTGAATTAGAGCAGGGGTTGGGCTGAAACATAATTTCCTGTGATACTTCCTGTGTGTGGGCCAGTGGAGAGTATCTAACTTTAACATGAAATGATTGGTTGATTGGCCACTCTCATACTCACAAGCAATGATTCAAATCTCATCCTTCGCCAGCTATCTGTAACCACCTCCTTATTGTTGTTGTTTGGTGACTCATAGTGACCCTATGAACAAGAGATCTGACACTTATCCTAACCTGTGCTGTCCTCACAATCTCTGACACACTTGAACTCATTGCAGCAGTGACTGTGCCAATACACCGTGTTGAAGGCCTTCATCTCTCAAAGCATGTGAGACAAAGTTTTCTAATCTTTGACTACAAAGAGCACTCTGGGTGCACTTTCTCCAAGACATCTCTTTGTTTGGGCAGTCCATGGACTATTCAGTACTTTTCTCCAACACCACATCTCAAAGGTGGCAATTCTTTTTCTGTCAAACTTTTTCTTAGTCCATATTTCAGCTGCATAGCAAGTGACTGAAAAGACCATGGCCTGCATCAGGTGCATGTTAGTCCTCAAACTAACATTATCACTCCTCAGTAATTTGTAGAGGTCCCTGATTGCAGACATTTCCAATGCAATACATCTCTTGAACTCCTGTTTGCTGGTATCAAGTGTGTATATTGTGGCTTTGAGTAAGATGAAGTTGTTGACCATTTTAATCTTTTCTCCACTTATCATGATGTTGCTTATTGGTCCAGAGTAAGAATTTTTGCTTACTTGATGTTGAGATATAATCCATATTTAAGGCTATATTCTTTGATCTTCTCCAGCGAGCATTTCAAGTTCTTCTCACTTTCACACGCAATGTTGTGTCCTCAACATAACACAGTTTGTTTCCTCTGATGCTGGTGCCACATTCTTCTTCCTATACTTAAGCTTCTCAGATGATTTATTCAGCTTAATATTGAATATGAACATAGAGAAACTAGAAGTTGACAAAAATGAAATTAAACAAACGAACAATAATATTCTAGGTATAGTGAGATGAGATGGACTGGCTTTGGTCACTTTGAATCAGATCATGCCATATGATATACTATGCCAGAAGAGAAAAACAGAAGAAAAGTGTCACATTCATTTAGTTAGAAAGACAATTTCAAGTTCTATACTGAAGTACAACGTTGTGAGTGATAGGATATTATCCATACACTTAGAAGGAAGACCTGTTAATATAACTATTATTCTGATATACACACCGACAGCTAACGCCAAAGAGAAAGAAATTGAAACTTTTTACAAATTTTGAAGTCCAAAATTGACCAAACATGAAATCAAGATATATTAATGATAATTGGTGACTAGGATGCAAAATATGGAAATAATGAAGAAGGGAAGCACAGATTTCGTGACAGAAAAGAGGCCAGAAATTGAATGATTGAATTCTCTATGTTCATTGACTTATTAATTGTAAATACCTTTTTAAAAAATAAATATAGTGTCTTTACTCATGAAACTCACCTGATGGACTGCATAGAAATCAGATTGGCTACATCTGTGGAAGGAATCCTAGAAGCTCAGTATCAGCAGTTAAAACATGGCCAAGTGGTGAGTGTGGAACAGACTATCATTGTTCTAAGAGTGCAAATTCATGTGCAAGTTCAGATTGAGTCAAAAGAAAATTAAAACAAGCCCCTAAGAACCAAAATATGACCTTGATTCTGTTACACCTGAATTTAAAAATTATCTTAACAGTAAGTTTGTGTCATTCAGCACCAATGATCAACGATCAGAAACATTGTGGGATGACATCAAGGATAACATGCATAAAGAGAGCAAAAGATTGTTACAAACACAAAGAAAGAAAAAACCAAAATAGTTGTCAGAAGAGACCCTGAAAATTGTGCTAGAATGTTGAGAAGCCAAAACACAGGGAAGAGATGCTGAAGTTAAAGCTGAACAGAAAGTTTTAAAGGGCACCTTGAGAAGACAAAGCAAAGTATTATCATGGAATGTGCAAAGAACTGGAACTGGAAAATAAAAAGGGA